TTGGATTGCCTATAACTTCTTCTTTATGCTGGTCCCCTTTCATAGCTAAGCTTGCTTCTCTTGCTGCACGCAAGTTTGGATTTCTATTTCGTGCCCGACGTTTTTTCATCCCAGCTCATCTTCTTCTATTGTACAAAGCTGAAATCCGCCCTGTTCTTGAGTACTGTAGTCACGTGTGGGGTGGGGCTTCGTCCTCTTCCCTTTCCATTCTTGATTGTGTTCAACGAAAGGCCATCCGGCTAATCGATGTTCCTTCCCTAACATCCAATCTACAGTCACTAGCCAATCGTTGGACAGTTGCTTCATTGTCCCTGTTCTACCGCTTTTCTACTACTTCGGTTTTTGTTCTTTTGAACTTGCCTCGGCAGTTTCTCCTTGTTCAACTTTTCCCCGCCCATCCCGTACACAGACATCTAGTCATCCTTATCAGTTTTCTGTTCCCAGAAGTCTATTCCAATCTTTTTTTCCCGAACTGCTAAACTGTGGAACACCCTACCCCTTGTTGTTTTTCCCGCAACTTACAATCTTACACTTTTTAAACGCAGAATAAACTGTATCTTACGTGAATGCTCCCCTACTCTCCCCTTTACAGTATGCTATTTGTCCATGGGGATTTTCCCGTTTACTGTAATTCGCATTGCGTGATAAAATAATAGTTGAGTTGCTGCTCATTCCCTTCCAAACTCCATTCTCGTAACTCTTAAAGATACTCTCATTAACCATTGGGTTAAGCCCACAGACAGGCTTGTTTGCCACAAAAGCGATATGTGGATAGTACAGAACGACTTTGTCGAAGATTGTTGCTTCCGATCCTTATTCAAGTGGTATGGTAAGTTACGCTCCATGATGATTCTATGAGCTGTGCAAAAATGGATTTGTCAGTCGAATATTCGATTATCCCCGTGGGATGGGACTGTGGACGACGGAAATTTTTTTCTCATCTGAATTACAGGTTTAATTTGAGTTTCAACCTTAATCGGCAAACCTGGCGGTTACATGACGGAGCCGGTAGTTGAGCTTGCACTTAACCTCACTCCTTCCCTTGTGATTAGGTTTTTTATTAAAGCTCAAACTAATAAAGAAAACCTTGTTCATGTGAAAATGATGAAGGAGCTCATTTTCAGGAAATCGTAAACATATTTTGTTTCACGAGCGATATGCATTTGCTATATGAGGACCCCAAGCATTTTTATCTCTTGGCTGTGTATGCACATTGGTGGAATAAGTAGATAACACTACTCTTCTTCCCCGCTGGAAGATACCGTTGTGATCATATTTTTGTTTGAGTATCCGTTTATAGTAGAGCTCGTCGCATTTTTGTTGTTGGTTTAGGATCATTAACCTTGTTTGTATCCGCTTACTGGGGAATAAACTAACCTCTTTGATCTACTTGTTTTGATGGCGATGATGATGATGATTCCCATATGCCTTTTTTCTCCATTCAGAGGTTGTCAAAGCTACTTATCGCAATCGAAATGTTGCGGTCAAAATGTACAAGAAAACCGCATGCAAACTGG